TTGATTGTTTAATTACAATTTAGCAGTTGAGTGGTGATTACAAAATGAATTGATGTACACCTAACTTGAGAAAAATTACTAGATGGAAGGCCATGAGGAGTACAATATCATAGTTGTTGGATTTTTTGTTGTTCAAGTTAGTATTCAGGAACTTTCAAGTGCAAGGGATACACTTTCGCCTGAGCCATTTGATACTGACCATTATTTATCTATCCAGGTGTTAACTGAGATGCCGACTAAACCAATATGGATGGTTGGTTTAATATATGTATAATAGGATTTCTCTTTCTCATGTGTTTCCACACATCACAGACCACACAACTTGGGAGTTACTCACCCAGCCTTCCGAACCAGGCCTGCCCTCTTCAATCTTCCTCCTTTGCCTCCTCTCCGCCTCCTACCCTCCTTGCTTCTTCTTCTGCCTCCTCCTCCTTCCTCCTTCCTCCCTTTGCAAACAGCAAAATGGCACCATGGTACACACTGCCGTATCATGTGTTGGTATGCCATCACGGACAGGACCTGTACGGTTTGGCCTCAGTACCCAAAATTGCATTCCATGCTTGAGTGTTCTTTGAACTCCGAGGACAACTGACAGTAAAGGGGGAAATTGTTGCTTGAAGGTGTCTAGTTAAGAGTTGATACACAATGCATCTTATGTTGGGGTTCTATCATGAATCAGATAGTGAGGTTAATTTCATGACCAATACAATCATTGAATGTTGTTTTAGCATCCTAGTTAATATTTTTTTTATAGTTTTTGGAATTAACAAGTGACCATTGATTATAGCATATTAGGCAATGCTGTGATTCATTGTTTCGGTTTGAGATAGCCTTTTCTTCCAATAGTGTCTTGGCAATTGGGTACAAGATAGTTAAATGCAAATCATATGGCTGAAAACAAGTCAAATTACAGCTTGAAAAGGAAGCTCTTGAGAAAGGTATTCCCCCAGGACAAGCTCATGACATAGATATCCCTCCTCCTAGACCTAAAAGGAAACCGAGTAGTCCATATCCACGGAAGTCCACTGGAGGTTCTCTTGCTCCTTCTGGGGAAGCAATATATGGGAAACAAGTACAATCAATGTCACTTCTTGGCATGAATAAAGTAATGGGCATTGGTGGTGATGCACTGCAAGAGGTAAACAATTTGCGTAAACACATTCTTTTTCTAATTTTTCTTATTTTCTTTAAGTATCAGTAAGCTGCTTTGACCAGAAATACACAGCAATGCAAAAGTTGCAAAGTAAAGAGATTTCAGAAGATGCTGGTTCCTCAGAAGTTCTTAGTGTCTGTCAAGATGATTTGTCTGCTTCCTTCTCTTCTGCAAACAACAGCTCCTCCAATCATGGCAAATACATGGAATTCTTGCCCACAAGGGAGAAAATAGACGGGAAGATTGCAATTAATAAATACTCAGCACCTCATGAAGTGGACCAGGAGCTAGATAGAAGTAGCAAATTCTTTGTAGATCATGAAATGGAAGGAGTCAATTTGACCCTAGAAGAAGGTGCAAGTACATCAAAGAATACTGTGGAAGGCAATCAAACACACCTAAAGAATCCTCCTCTCCATATTGTCGATAGAGATGGTGAAAAAAGCATGCAGACTGAAGATTCAGATGGTCAGAACTGTAGTGCAGTAACTGGGCAAGTAGGAGGGCATGCAAATGCTAACCCATCCATGAACCCTGTAATTTCTGCAATGCCGTTCCAGAACATACCAACAATTGGTTCCATGCATCATCCATTTCCAGCCCTCTCAGCCTTTACCCACTTCCACAGCAGTCAAGATGCTTATAGGTCATCCCTAAACATCTCATCCACATTTCCGAGTCTCATTGTTTCTACCTTACTACAAAATCCAGCAGTTCATGCTGCAGCCAGTCTGGCAGCATCATTCTGGCCAGCTGCGGGGCTGGAAACCTCTCTTCAGTCAGCCCCAGAAATATTTGCTGGGGAAGTTCCAGAACAGCAGATGCACCCAACTCCAAGCTTGGAGGCCATTGCTGCTGCTACAGTTGCAGCTGCAGCTGCATGGTGGGCATGTCAGGGTCTCTTGCCATGGTTCCCCCCTCTTCCTGGTTTTGCATTTTCTCCTCCAACCACAGCCGCTGTCCCCTCGGTAGACATCGCCCGAGTTCAAGAAGCACATGGTGGCACTAAGGATAAACCTTTGAAAGAAGATCAGCAACTTGGAAATCAAAATCAGATCAAGGCTCAAAAACCTCAACATCACTCTTCTAAATCATCATCATTATCATCGTCAGACTCAGATCAAAGTGGAAGATGTAAAAACTCAAACGATCTGAAAGCCACTGGATCTGACAAGTTCAAGCCATTAGCTCTTAGTGGATTACAGGATTTAGAGAAGGCAATGAATAATAAGAAACAGGATCGTTCTTCTTGCGGATCAAACACACCATCCGGCAGTGAAGTGGAGACAGATGCTATAGAGAAGAATCATGAGAAAACCAATGATGAGGCTAAAGAAGTCTATTTCAGTAATTTTTCAGCTTGTGAGACCAACCATCGCAGGCTCAGAAGCAGTGGAAGCATGAATGAATCGTGGAAGGAGGTCTCCGAAGAGGTTGTAATATGAAATTTTCTTCTGAACTCATTTCCCAATGAGAGTTGGATGCTTATTACTTCTTGTCTAATTTGTCTTCTTTTTGTCAGGGTCGACTTGCCTTCCAAGCACTGTTCAAGAGAGAGGTACTTCCACAAAGTTTTTCTCCTCCACAAACTGAAGCAGCAGCAACTGTGATGAATAAGGAGGAAACCACTAAATTGCCAATCGATTTTAACAAGAACGTGCAGCATCCAACCGACCTTAACCATCTTCAAGATGACGCAAAGGAAGAGATGTGCATGCGAAGCAACGACAGCATAATACAGGGAAAGCTCAAGATTCGTCGAACAGGATTTAAGCCTTACAAGAGGTGTTCGGTAGAAGCTAGGGAGAACAGGGCAGCAGCAGTAGAAGAAGCTGGTAGCAAGAGGATACGTCTGCAAGGGGAAGCTTTGACCTGATGTCAGTGTTTCGAATAGCTCCCTGCTCGTTCCTTTTTGCATGTACAATTTGCCTTGTGGGTTTATGAGACACGGAGTTTGCCAAGCATCAAAACTTTGGAACTTAATCTGAACTTCATAATATGTAGTAGTCTTGATTTGTCAAGCAGTTCTCCCTATTAACTCTATTAAACTGAAGTTGCTTTCTGTTTTTGATCGAATAATTTCTGTCTATTTTATGTTATTGAAGATTCTACTTGATTTTATTTCATTCTTGCCAATAATACAAGTTTTATAGTAAGTTTTTGAAGTTTCTGGTAGAGGATTATATTTGATATTTTGTTTGATGTTTATCCTCTTTGTTAGATCCAGAATTATCAGGTAGTTTCTTATGAAATCTGGCTCATCTTCTTGTTTATTACTCAGCGGCTTTATTACGTTATTGACAAGAACTGGAAGCAGAGACTTTTTTTTTTTTATATATATCAGTTTTGGCAGGATACTTCTTATTAGACGATATTTTATAGTTTCATAAAAATAGCCATCATAAATTGGTCAGACAAGCTAAGCTAGCTTTGTCACTCTCGACGGAAGACAATTCACCTGTCGGTCGCTACCATTCTATTTGGCGACTTCGTTTTTTGTTTTCATTTTCTACTCCGTTGGACTTTTATGTTTTCATTTCTGGACTTTCTTCACTGTTGACGACACCTATAATAAATGTGATTACTAGACGTATCTCCGAATCGTGTTATGCTTACGCCGGTTAGGACAATGTCAACACTCGGACTAGTCTACTCTACCAACAATTAGAAACTATTTATCTATAGTTATAAACAGAAAGAGATTAGCATGCCATCTTATTAATGAGCATGTGAGAGGAATGTGGATGCTCGCATTGGTATGAGCATGAGCATGAGCATTGGGTGAGCAAGCAATTGCTCACCAATCTCCCTCTCAAGTATGCACCGTGGGTTGGTTGTTCATTCAACCACGGAAGGTGCTCTCTCTCGGCCAACATGTGACCCTACCTGCCCATCCTTCCACTGAGCAAGAAGAAGAAGAAGAAGAATCCAACCGTCCCCCAAATCAAATCATTGGTGAGTTGACGGCCGATCACCAGTGCTGGAGCAGTTCAACCCCTTTGCCATCCGATGTCACATCATCGACAACTCAGCCACACCATATCGTGTCTCCTGCCAAAAGTCAATCCGGGTAGAGCCATTTTTGTCGGAAGCATATGCCAAGATTCGTTGACTTCTCAACACTCAGCGTCTGCATAAAAAAAAAGGCAAAAAATAATCAATCAATCAACGCCCTCTCAAAGATGCGATCTGATTGTGTGTCACAGAACTTTCTAGGTGAAAGCCTTTATATATATATATATATATATATATATATATATATATATATATATATATATATATATATATATATATATATATATATATAGTATA